TTCTAAGGCATCTTCAATCAGTAGGATACCTTTACCAATTGGGTGGGTATCGTTACAAAATTGCCGTGTGTTGCTCTTCTTCTTCTTCTTGGGCACATGCCCTCTCTGCAAGGGTAGACTAGAACAGTTCAGTTGCTGTGGTCAATGGCCAAAGCCCAAAGGAAGGTGCTGCCCGTCCTCATGTGGTACACCCTATGGTTATCAGCCTCCCATGAATGCAGAATGCCCTACTCGATGCTGCCCGTCTTTTCTGCGCAATCGAAGGAAGCAAGTAATTATTTTACAAATTAATTACTGTAAAAAAACAAAATTTATCCCTTTAGAAAACATTTCTTTTGTTGCTCATCTAGTGGAAGAGACACAATTCATGAAAATCAGGGGATGCAGTTGGCTTTCTCAGTATATATTAATAGTGGACTGAAGTCTCTGAGAAGGCTGCTCCATTTGCGTTTTTGTTAAGTATTTTAAGACCAGCTTTGAATGCACAAACAAAACAAAATGGCTTTATTGATTGCTTAATTTAAGGGAAACCTAATACGTGCATGTCTCATTAAATACTGAGCTGATCACCAAATGGTGGTATTTTATTTTAAGGCCTAGTTTGAATGCACAGATCCCATGTTTTAGTATTAAAAAACAGCAGATAATCCATGCTTCCAAACAACGTTAAATAGTTAATACATTTTTGTACTTTCAATAGTGCATAAATGAATTATTATAATTAATAAATCAAGAATATGGAATATAAAAAATGGAACTGCAACAATTCCCCAACAGACCCAACAGAAGAGAAGAACCACCATGGGTGACCATACAAACGGTGTTGATTTTATTCTCTAATTAATTAAATTATAAAGAATTAATTAAAAGGATGACTAACGGGTACAGAGAGACATGTTGAATGGGTGAGACCCACCGTCCAACATAATTGGCGTCTGAATCCGAACCACCACTGATCAAAGGATCTCAAACGTCAGATACATCACTTAAATTCGGGATTATCCGCATCAAAAGCTGCGATGGGAAGAATGTATGTTATAGTGTTCCACTAAATTACTAAAACACCCTCACCGTTCTCGTCCAATTACTCTCTCTGGTCATTTGGTCATTGGCCTAGAGTATTCCATTTCCAACTGTTCATTTATTGAGTGGGGCATGCAGCAGCATGCTTTAACAAGTACTCTCAAGTCCCAACTACAACTGTTCTTGGCTTCGGCTGGCATTGAGGGCAACAGAACTTTGCCACCTGGCAAAAAGTATTGGGAGGCCGGATCGACCCGTCTATCTATAACAACTTTCCGATTTTTATGACTAATTGCCCGCAACGCGACTTTAAATCACATTTTTTTTAACAAAAATCATTTAACAAGGGTTGGAAATTCCTACATGTTGACTTGGAATTCATACAAGTCATCCGCGTAGAGTCGGTCTACCAACTAGTAGGAATTGATACTGGTACTGCTAGTATTAATAGAAGTAGGTTTGGTCAGAGTCAGACATCCGTGTGGCATGAGTTAGCCTTCTTTAATTTCTTTTCTCTGAAACCTTTGTATCTCACACTCTAATCTTGTCTTTTGTTGTTATCTATCTCTCTCTCTCTTCAATTTGGGTTTAGTTTTATTGATTTACTTACTCTAAGAAGTCAAAGACTGAATTCATGGCCATACTCGCTTTGTTGATTTTTTTTTTCTATTGAAAATAAAGACCCGGGCCTCTATCAAACACTATTTTCTAATTTCTTTAACGTGAAACCGAGCTGACTCTGTATCCACGTGAGGGTAGGTTTGGTGCCTTAATTACATAAAGAACCCACTTTTAGAGAAAGTAGGACTGTTGGATCTTGACCCGACTCTATGTATCGCCGAATTCCAAGTTTGACCCAGATTGGCATTGTCCCCAACCGACCCAATTAAAACCATTTTTTAATTATAAACTTGGGGGTCGTTGATCCGACTTCTCTTACCTCTTTTTGAATTCGAGTGGATCATGAATCCGTGTCCAAGCAAAACACCTGGATCAAACAATTTGTGCTCTCTATCCGAATTCTGTTCCCCTTATCGTCGAGAATATTTGGTTGATGGGTTGATTTGGTTCAATTTAAAGCTATTGCTCAATCTAATCAATTTAGTTGGGTCTGAGAATTGGCCGTTTTAGAAAAAAGATGGGGCCACATCGGATTTATATAGGCGTTTTAACAAACGTCTATGTATCTTATTGTTTGGTTCAGTTGATTACTGAAAAATCAGGAATGTCTAAAAAATCGGGACTCCACTGATTTGGTGTTTCATGCATTGGTGAACCGTTTCCTCCAATGGTTGATTGGTGTGTATTCTATGTAGTGCTTATCTGTCAGTACATACATGAAAAATGGTGATGAAAATCACTTTACCAAACAACATAGTATTGTTCACTGTCTACGTGATAGAAGCGTCATTTTTTTTGTGAAAAATGGGTATTGGAAACATGGGTGTTTTTTTTTGAAAAATAGGTCCTAAAAAGTGTCCATGCTTCCAAACAACGTATTAGATTGTATCGATTTAGATTGATTTTTGATTTGGTCGATTGATTCAAAGGATTTAAATTTATAAAATTACAATAATATTATTAAAAAATTAAAATAATATAAAATAATAAAATATTTTTAACTAGGAAATATAAAAACCTTTGCACTTTCTCATATTAAAATTTCAAATTTAAAATATAAAAATATATATATAGCCGGATTGGATCGGTTTATAAATAATCAAACTGAAATCAACATGACCTCAATAAAAAGTACTAAAAAGTCGACTAACTAAAATCAAATTAATTAATTCATCAATTTGATAAACACCGTTAGAGCGGTTCACTGGAATTACTGAACATATTTTTGAAACTAATAAATTCTAGTTTATATATCTATCTACCTATATATATATACTGATCAGTTTTTCGATTCACATCATGGGTTTTGGTTCAGTTTTTCGATTTTTGGATTATTATTAACACTATTAACATTCACAATGGAGATCAGCAATTGTCAACATAATGGGTGTTGATGGGCATGCGATTGCTGGATGTACCCAAATTTGACTTGGTACAGACAGGTATGGGTCCAATGTCATGGACTGAGCAGTGATACGGTCGGATATGGGTCCATACTCCATACAAGTGCAGTTTCATCAAAAGTCAAAAATGAATTTATGAGTAATATGGGCTTTAAAATTATTATTAATAAATAACGTATTTGTATTTGGTTATTTTTTGTACATATTTGAGACAAATTAAACTTCAACAAGCTGAATTGTCAACAAAATTTTATTAATAAATTATTTAAAAATCAATGTTTCAAAAATTGAAATTGAAACTATTTTAATTATGATTTTTAGGTCAATGATTCGACTGTCTGATTTGAATGAATCAACAGTTTAATACCCGAATCCGTAAATTATTGACTAAGCATATGGCTTTTTTTGGTAAGTAGAACTAATTGCCTGAACAATTTTCAGGCCAAATACTCCAACCATCTGGATTAACGACGGTTAAAAAAATCATATTAAAAACTGATCGAAATATTGAACCGAAAAACAAATTGGGACACAGTGGTTCAACGCCTAGGCGAATGACGGTGCCCTTTGAGATATGAGCTAGCCAAATGAGGAATATCTTGCGCAGATGTGGCTAGGGTTAGCACTGGAGATAGATGTGACTCTTCTGGAGAGTTCCTCAGCAGATGGGGAATTGCTCAAGCATTATATCAATCCACTCAGTGGTTGCAAATTTGCATCGTTTACAAGCTGCAACTCCCATACACAAGCTCCTAGTTATTGACTTATTTCCACGTGAGAGCTTTTAATGGAAAATAGACTTGCAATCGCCCTAGTAAATGTGCATTTATTTATTTATTATTCGAAGATCTATAATTTTGTTTATATTATTCTTTTTCTTTTACTGTATATAGGGCTATAAGGTTTACTGTGATAATGCGAAGTTCAACTGTTCAAGTTTGTGCTTGTTACTATCAGATTATCACATAGACAACGACCTGACTCCAGAGTAAAACTATTCCAATCTATGCAACACATTGCCAATCCTTACGTGGTGGAGCAGAGACGAGAGTGGCAGAATTTGCTGGATTTAGGATGGATGCCGTATTTACGTGGATAGATAAAGGGATCATGACTTAGAATGGAAGGTTACTCCTGCTATGGTCATATATGTATATGTCAATGCCCAAGAAAAGGGTCTAAATTAAACACCTCAAATCTGGACATGTTTAATATAATCTTTATGGAGGATTTGGACTTGATAGCAAAACGTTGAATCAATGCTTACATAACGCCCTGTCAGTCTTATCAGAAGACGAATCCGGATCCAGTATTCCAGTCCAGCTGGACCGTACCCGATACAGTATAGAGTATACTACTCGACTGCCTGGCCCGATCCCATGACCCCTTCTCTCATACGGATAGGTTCCAACAGTGAATGTGTGAACTGAACCCACTCTCCTCGTACAACAACCCGGGGGATCCGCATTCAAGTGGCCTATTGGTATTACCCACTTTAATCCGCCTCCCTGCTTTTCTCTCTTTTCGGATTCCCTACCTCAGCCTCCTTCCATATTCACAGGCCGAAAGCCTCCCTTTTGGTTTCTCCTTTTTATGTTTTTGGGATCACCACAAAAGCAGAAAAAAGAAAAGATAAAAAAGAATAAACTTTCAAAAGGAAAAGAACGAAAAATAATCATAAAAGGTGTCCGGGCCTCGGTACCCCCCAAAACCAAAACCAAAACCAAAACCAAACCCGGATCAAGGCTGCTGCTTCTGCTTTGGTATCTGCATTTCATGAATCATGAGCGAGGCGAAGGCAAAGGCAACCGACCGACCAACCGAACCCACCGGTGGTCCCTCTCTCTATAACTCTGTTGATGAAAATTTCAACGGTCCGAGTGCCCACTGTTCCACGTTTCCTCCGTCCTCCGTCACCATTTGCAAGCAAGCATTAAATTGTTGGAGAACTCGCATTTGACCAAAAGCTTTACAAAATTACAGTGACGTCATCGCTTTCCCCTTTGACCATTCTCTCCCCAGCTTCAAAAGCCCCAGCTCCCCCCTCCACCTTCTCCATCTTTGTGAACACACACACGCTCTCTCTCTCTCTCTCCCCCCCCCTCGATCGACTTCCTCTCTTTCAGCTTTAACATCGGATTATCTCAGAAGAGAAGAGAAGATAAACCCTGTCTTCATTGATCAAACCGGAGGAAGATAAAGATGGTGAAGAACGATCTGTTCATCACCGTTCCGAGCTTCTTCAAATGCCCCATCTCCCTCGACGTCATGAAATCTCCGGTCAGCTTGTGCACCGGCGTCACCTACGACCGCTCCAGCATACAGCAATGGCTCGACAGCGGCAACAACACCTGTCCAGCCACCATGCAGGTTCTCCAGAGTAAGGACTTCGTCCCCAACCACACCCTCCATCGTCTCATCCAGATCTGGTCCGACTCCCTCCACAGCAACACCGACCACGATAACTCTGACCCCTCTACGTCCGCCTCCTCGTCCCCTCCCTTGACTCAAGATCAAGTTAGGGTTCTCGTCAAGAACATCGAGGACCACGCCGAGAACCGCCTTGATTGTTTGACGAAGATACTCGATTTCGCCAAGGAGTCCAATGAGAATCGAGCGTTTCTCGCCAAGATGGATGGTTTCGTTCCCATCATTGTTGGTGTCCTTCGCAGCAATGTCGACGGTCGGGGAGAAGTGGAGATTGAACTATCTGAGCACGTCGTAAGGCTCTTGGATATGATTCTCATGGATTACGCCGATAAAGAACAACTCATGAGATTAACCTTGAAAGGAAACCCAGATTTCTTGTCATCTGTTGTTCTAGTTCTGAAGAAAGGAAGCTTGGATTCGAGGGTCGGATCTGGAAGAGTTTTGGAGGCAATCGCAGTGAACGGTGAATCCAAGCTTCTAATCGCCGAGAAAGAAGGGATATTGTCTGGACTAATACGTCTAATGAGTTCCGAGACGGATTCGAGTGCGATTGAATCTGGACTCTCTTGCTTGATCGCCGTATCCATGCCAAGGCGAATTAAGTTACAGATCGTTCGCCTCGGAGTAGTTTCGGTACTGTCGAAATTGTTGTCTCAACCGGACACCGGCGTCTCCGTCGCCGAGAAGGTCTTGAAGCTACTAGATATGGTTTCGACGTGCCCGGAAGGCCGCACGGCGATATGCGAGGATCCGATATGTGTAGCCACGATTGTACAGAAGATGCTTAAAGTGTCGAGTGCGGTGACGGAGCACGCCGTTCTGATACTTTGGAGCGTCTGCCATCTATTCAGAGATCAGAAGGCGCAAGAAGCGGTGACGAAGAGCAACGGGTTGACGAAGATTCTGCTATTGATGCAGAGCAATTGCTCGCCGTCGGTCAGGCAGATGTCCAGCGACCTGCTCAAGATCTTCCGAGTAAACTCAAAATCGTGCCTTTCGAGCTATGATACGAAAACCACGCATATCATGCCTTTCTGACCATTCCAATTTTCAAGAGAGGGAAAAAAAACCCAAAATCAATCACTAATTAGAGAGGGAAACAACAAAACCAAAAGAAGAGACTCTGTAAATGAAAAAGAAATTTTGTCCAAAAATACAAAAATCCATTAGATTTTGCCCATCAAATTCCTTTTTTTCTTCTTGTATTTTACTGTGCACATAAAATTCTCCTGTACCTTGTTTTTTCAACGAAGTTCATTAGCTCAACAAGTGGGTTACTTCCAAAGAGCTAGAACTCTCGGTTAAAGTCTCGGAAATAATCCTTGATGTCATCAACACTCACAAGTAGTTTGTTGAATGGATTTGCAGAATTATTTGTACAGAAAAATTGTTTTTACACAGAATAATACATTAAATTCATTACCCCAAAAGTGGGTTCTCCAGAGTTGTTTCAGAATTTGTATCAAGTTCATGTTCTTTTTAATTTTCTGCAACTAGCTAAGCTTCTAGTTTGGTAACTCAGGTTCGATGTCTGAATTTTGTTTCCGGGTCGTGTGAGAACTCTGAGAAGGGAGAAGGATATAGAAGGAAGAGGCCTGGTCTGATGGGTAAAGCTTTTAATGGGAAAGAGACAAGTTGCCGCAATTGCTGAAATTGTCGCTGACTGTAATTCCCCACGGTTTGCTTTAATTTGACCTTATTGATGATTCCAGAAGGGCTGAAAGAGATTGGAATCCATAGAGCCAGAGATGGGTAATGGTTTGACTACGTCGATACCAAAAGAGAAAATGAAGCTTTCTTCAAAAGGGCGAGCAAAAAGAGGTGGAAAAATGCTTCGGAGCAAGTCTGAAGCTGAATAAAATCTTTGGTTTCCGCGTAACAGTTTTTGGAGTAACTATCAAAGAATGAAATCATAAACCATCGGTTCAGTAATAATAAAAAAGTTAAAAATTACGAATTTGTATATGATATGCATCTTAGAAATTATTAATAGATATTTTAATTTACATAGAAAATTTAATATTTGGTTGATCACTTTGTTAATATAAAAAAAGTAAAAATAATTGATATAATAAAAAAATATGTTTTGCACTTTGGATTCTTGATTGATATATTATCAGTAAAATTGTGTGATATTTATGTATCATATTATATTAATTGTAATATATTTTTCATATGCACCATTAAAACATACATTTTCTATGTATTTATACATTATTTATGGTCATTTGACATTAAATTTGATATTATTAATGTATTATAAAATTTTTATGTGTTTCCCTAGTGTATTCATTTTTTGTTCGTATCCATGCGTTTCCAAAGCGTATCTGTATCCGTATCTAAGTTATCTAACACGATACTCGATACCGATACTTTAATCCTTGGTTTGATCAAGTTTGGATGGTTAATGCATAAAATAATTGGTGAACCAAATGATTCAAGTATTGTTGGTGTTTCGAATGTAAAAATTGCCATATCAAAACTAGGGGTGACAATAAATCGAGCTTTTCATGATCTACTCGAGCTCAGTTTCAGCCATGCTCAAGCTCGAGCTCGAGCCGAATTCAGTGGCTCGATTATTAAATGAGCCGAGCTCAAGCCTACTAGAGCTTGGCTCATGAGGCTCGCAAGCCAGCTCAAATATATATATATATAATAAAATAAAAATATTATAATTATTAACTTTTTAAATATAAAATAAAAAATTATATATAATTTTTATTTTTATAATAAAATATTTTTATAAAATATAAAATGAGCTAAGCCGAGCCGAGCTCGAGTCTTGTAGAATAGTCTTGCGCCGAGCTCGAGCCTGTACTATTCGGCTTGGCTTGGCTTGGCTCGAATCCACCCCTAATCAAAACCATATAGACGTTTTGAGTTCAAGGGTCAATTTTCTGTTTGGTTAGTGAGATTTTGAGTTAAAACAGTCATAAAAACACTTTGCGGAACCAAACGATTCAGGTACTGTCAGTGCTTCGAGTATAAATGCTGCCACATCACAACCACCTAGGCGTTTTGAGTTGAAGGATCAATTTTCTGTTTGATTGGTGAGATTTTGAGTTGAAACAGTTGTAAAAAGACTCAAACAGTGATGTTTGTGTTTCATGTATAAATGGTGTTTCAACTCAAAACATTACAGGTTGAAACACCAATTCTACCAAACACAACCTATTTCTATTAGGTAGGTGGGCCAACAATTGGTCGCTTCTATAAAACAGCATTTTCTCTTGCTTGCTTTTGCTACTTCAGTCAGTGGATTGAACTCACAAAGCCTTCTCCAGTTTTCATGTCTAATTTGTCTTCAAAAATGTTACTAAAAACACTTGTCTACACACTACTGACTACGCTCTACAGTAAATGCAATTTCAAGCAGCAACAGTAGTAGATAAGTTGAAATCACAATGGGCCCTTGTACTCTCAACCACGAATCCATCAAATACTATCGGCCTTAAGGCCTAGCCCAATCTCATTTTAGCCCAGTCAGGCCGTTTCATACCTCAGGTGTTTCCTATTGGAGCTCCATCTCTATTTCTGAACTCATTTATCATGTCTTGGTCGTTAGCCCTTGTACTCGTAAAATCCTCAATCAAACTGTCACAACTAACAGACAGAATATGGATCTGGCATGATACGGTCAAAAAAACAGCAATTCAGAAAGCCCAGTCCATAGAAACAAACACGTGGGCCCTTCATTGCTTGATGCCAAAAATGTATTAAAGTAAAAAGAGGCCCAGTCAAGAACAACATATGGGCCTCATTGTGCCAAATGGACGAACCCGTCATCACCTATGGACCATGCCCAGACCCAAAAGTAATCCTTATCTAATTCAAAAATCAAAACTGCTTGGACCACTGGACCTCATTTACATTGCAGCAGATCACGAATACACAAAAGAATAAATAAATAATAAAAAAAAGAAAAGAAGAGATTGAGTGCTTGGGGAACAATCAGTCACCACCATTCCCTCCATTCATTCATTCGACGGAGAGTGGAGAAAAGCAACTGAGAGCGCCAGAGAAATTTAAACAAGCAACTTGGATGGCCGTGAGGCCTTCCTTCAGAGACATATATATAAAGATTTTTAATTAAAAATTATAGGAATAAAAATATAATAATGGATATATATATATCATGTGCAAATTTATAAATTTTAAGTATTAAAATAATTATTCTTTTATTAATATTATATTTTTATACATTTTCTGAGATTGAAATAATATTTTGATATAAATGTGTATTTGATATATTATTTATTTTTATTATTTTATAAAATACTGATTTTAAGTATTATATTTTTAATTTTTAGTTGGAGTTAACCATAATATGTATTATTTATTTGAATTTCATTCAAGTAATAAAGAAATAAAATTGTTATTCATTCAGGATGGAGTGTAGTGGCTTACTCCTTCCCTTGAGCATATATCATTCTATATTAGTCCGTATCGATATGTATTAGCCAATACAGTACACACCCGTATCAGCCCGATATACAAGATTGAAAAGATACATATTCAGTCGTAACCGTGGTGGTTCTGTTATTCCTTCCCTTGAGCGTTGTTTTTCTATTCTATAGGATGCTCTTCTTCAAAAGCAAGATCTCCAGAGAATAGGTTTGACTCGCAATAGTTAATCCAAAAGTCGAGCTGATTCTCCGAAAATGGACTATAGTGGCTAGAAAATGAAAAATTCATGGCTGGTGGTGACTCTGGGTGAACCGGGATAAGTCACTAGTCATTTCCATGGATTGGAACCATTCCATTTCGTATTTTCTAGACAAGCAAGCAAAGCATGGATGGATGAAACGAAGAATTGCTTTGACTAAAAAAAGAAAGATATCATATCCGCTAGAGTCTGGACTCTATCTACGTAGGTTAAATTTGATTTTGGCCACAGCAGCAGGTAGAATACCCAAGAAAAGATTTCCCTCTTCAAATCCCTAGACTAGACGTTTGTGTTTAATAAATATTTCTAATTTGAACTGTATTATCACTCGTAGGCTTTGTAATATTGTGATATCGATACAGTTGACCACCAACGAGGTAACTGTCTAGCTGACTAAAACCTCCCACATGCATGGAGGGTGGACTGGGGAACATGTGGAGCCATTCTTGGGCCGTTTTGATTTCATTGCTTTACAACTTGTATCCATGAAGGAAAAAGTTGAAATAGACACTTTTGGTAGTGAAGATAAGAATAAATCTGCAATCATCAATATTTTTTTTTTTCACTCTTCTGTTCTGGATTTCAAAATTTTGACTTTGATGATGTGGGTTTAATGTTTGTATAATGGATTGCATGTGGCAATTCTATTGTGATTTAAAAATAATCAGGTGATTCAAGTTCACATGTAAGCCAAAAGCCAGAAACAATTTCAAACTGCTTCTAAAACAGTAAAACCAGACAGCCAAAGATCTGTTCTTAGATTATCTAATGCTAGGAGCCAAATGAATGCTCTCTCTCTCCTCTCTCTTTCTCTCCCCCCCACACACACATTCTTTAACCATATGAAATGCACAGTACAAGAAGTAGAAAATTTCATGGTTTTTGAACTGCAAGAGCTGCTTTCTAGTTCAATGAAGCACCTCGAAATCTAGCTGCTAGTGGGTATGCCTCGCTTCTCAAAGTCTGATAACTCCTCTTACTTGGGAATCTCAGACTGGGCCAAATGGTACCAGGATCGGTACGCTGGTACAACTGTATGTGAGAGAAAATAAGTGCAGGTGCCTGCGGGTCCGGCCAAAGGTTTTGAAAGAGAGACAATTGTGCATGAGGACACACAGAGCCAAGCAATAATCCGGAAGGCTGATAGATAGACATAGGACTGAGATTGATTTTACACGCCCCACCGGCCCACCCCACTGGTGATGTTGCCGACCTACCAGACCAGTGGAGTTGCAGGGGCTGAGAACGATTGATTACGACTGGATACAAACCTCTACATCCCATAACCCAGCCAAGAGCGATTAAGGTAGCTCAGAGTGGTTTAAGTAAGAAAGTTCAGTGATGATTATTTTCCTCAAACTCCCATTTGGCCTTATGTCGGTACATGTCTTCGTCTAACATCACATTCTTAACTTAGGCCCTGGCCACAATGTCAAATCTGACGGAAGGGCTGGAACCTGGAAGGGGACATACCATACCCTATTTCCTAGAGAAGAATGCCGAGTCTATGGAATATGGATGCATCCAGAGTTCCAGACTACCCAGTGTCCACAAAGGCGACTGGATCCTTGCTAGCCCCCATTAGAACCTTTTTTTTTTGAGGCCCAAGCTACGTTTTGGATGCAACCCTAAGGCCAATTTGTAGCCAGACAAAAAGGTTAAAATGATTAAAATTTTTTCAATGACGATGAAACAAATCGGATACAAGAATAAACATTATGCCGATTCCTCCCAAGGATTCCTCTCTATGGTTATTCTAAGGCCACCTCCATTCCCAGATGAGAAGCAGACTCCCCATAGTGACCAGCCTCAAATAATTATTCAGTGGAATCAGATATCATACAACATGTGCTGTTATCACCATCAATTCTCCCTAAAAACCAGACTGGAGAATCCAGAATTGCAATTAACCATGGACAAAAGGGGTCCGGACCACAGTATAAGACCGAACTCAAGTTACACGTCAGAAAGCATAGGACCCCATCTGACCAAAACATTGTACTCAGCATCTGTTAGAACACAAGTTACAACTCTTCTGCTTATCCTAGCAGCATATCCACAGGCTCTGCAGCTGAAATACCAAACAAAATACAGCACTATGAATTCCCACATTAATCATGATGAATTGGCAAATAACAGTAAATGTTCCATACCTTCTGCTTCTCACCCCATCACCAGATGGACACTCCCTTGGGAAATGCCCAGGCTTACCCCATTTAAAGCACTCCCAACTGTTGTAGAGGAAGGACAAAAAGAATTCAAGTAGCATGCAGAGATCTTTAGCTCATTCACATATATTGCCTTAATGACGATGAACATGTGTTGAATCTCATATAATAACTGAACAAAAGACAAATGACAAGACAAGATAGAGGAAAAAATAAAAAATTAGTCATATTTGGCATCTTGTTAATGCATGCAACTAATTTCATCCTCCATAAGCGAAGGGCTAGTTTAGGGGGTAGGATATCTTTCAAGATTCAGAAGTTACTAGCACTATGCAGATATTTTGGGCTAAATTTTAATGCTTGTTCGGGGGTTTGTGATGCATGCCAAATTGGAATATGCAGCCTGAGACCCAACAAAATGGGTGCCTGGGCTCAAGAATCATACCCACTAAAAAACTGATTTTTTATGAAGAAACATTGTACAAGCAAGGAAAAGAACATTATGAAAATATGCAAATGGTTACTTTTGCTCAATGCTTTAAAAGGTGTGGGAGGCGTTACACCTCATGTGCCTCATGCATGTGAGCCTCCAGAAGGTGATGAAAGGGCTGTTAGATGCTTCCCCAGCAGTTAGGAAGAATCAGAGAAAACTTAATTGAGGTGAGATTTAGGGTTTAAATCTCATATTGAAGGTGCCGCCCGGAAGTTTCTGGCTAGTCTTTTCAACTCTCCTGAAGTTTTGTAACAGGAGGTAGGGTTTAGTGTGTTCTTTTTCTTCTCTGTGTTGAGCCCAGCATGGAGTTCTTTGGGAGTGAACAAAAACCTATTGGAGAAGGTGATGAAAGGGCTGTTAGTATGACTGGTAACAACCCTTTTCAGATTACCACAATCAGGTTTGATGGTTTAGGCTATGTGACTGGAGACACCAAGGAACCAGCCAAGGAAGACCCTTCCTATGCAAAATGGATTCAAGAAAATTATCTTGTGTATAATGCAAGAGTAAACAGAGGAAGAAGAATTTGTTAATTATTCATCAATCTCGTATGTATATATACAAGTTACAAATTCTATGTTAGGAAAGAATATGTTAGGAAAGAAGACTAATCAAATTCCTACAAATTAGTCCTACAATCAAGGTAAATCATATCTC